AGTAAGCTGCTATTAAGGGAAAAAAATGCCAGAGACCTTCACTCCTCGCTTTTCTTGTGGCGAGGTTAGTCCATCTCCTTTTTCTTAATTTTTTCCTATTTTTTCTCTCTTTTTTTTTTTTTTCCCCCGACCTGCAGCAATAAAACGCCGATAGTCCCGGCCATGAGGTGTTTTTTTTTGGCTTTTTTTTTTTTTTTTTGGAGGAGCGGCCTCGAAATAATTTCCAAATAATGGGAATTACCCGCACTGCTGCACACACACAGCCCTGCTCGCGGGGCGCCGCGGGAGCAGCCGGGCCGGGGCGCAGCGCGGCCCCCCGAGGCTCGGGCAGCGCCGTCGGGTTTCTCCCCTTCCCCCTCACCCCGCGCCCGATCGGGCCCCCCAGGGGCGCGTTTGGGGCAGACGAGGAGGGTTTTTTTTTGAGCGGGGTATTAAAAGATCCGGATCCAGCCCCAGGATCGGGGCTGGGTGGCTGGAAAAGGCTCATCACGGGCGTAATCTGGCCCCGGTAATGAAACCGCATTTGATTTTCCAAGCGGAGGCATCGCGCCCGCCGCACCGAGGCGGGCGAGCCGCAAAGCAATACAAATCAGAAATGAGATTTGGAAGTCCTAATGAACCTGATTGCATGCACATTTATAATCCCCCATGGCTTTAAATGAAATCAGATATAATCAGGAGCTGAGAGGGGGGTGAGGGGGAAAGGGAGTGTTTACGGGCAGAGATTGGGAAGTGCTGCCGTATTAGTAAAGATGCGGCTCCTTCTATTGATGTCGAAAATGATGGATAATGTGAGAATGGCAAATATACTATTTGTCTAATGGCTCTGCAATTAAATTCCCCTGTAAATGACCCATGCCTCATTTCATCCTAATCTATGGAATTTTGATTGAATTCGTCAGCTCTAATTGAAAAATACTGCGCTTTAATGTCCGCGCTGCAGCGGCAGGACCGCGGCGGCTGTAATGAGCCGCTGCCCCCCTGACCCGGGAATATTTGCGACTTTTCTTCAGGATCGGGAGCGGGCGGCTTCGGGCGCCGGAGCCCGTGGGAAAGTGGCCGCGCGTGGGAGCGGGCGGGCGGCTGCGGGCGCTGGAAACTCCTCCGCGGAGCCGGCGGGGAACCCACGTCCCCCCGCTCCCAGCGCGCCTGAAACAGGTTGATTTGGGGCATTTAAATATATATATACACATCTATCTATCTGTCTATCTATCTATCTATACATATATGTATAAGAGGGAAGGAAAAAAAAAACTCCCGTTATGATTTGAACGAATTTCGGGACACGAAGCAGGGTTACCGAATCCAAATCTCGTAATTTTATTGTATTTTTTCCAGTCTCTCCTTATAGACGGTGTTATTAATCCTCCCTTTTTATACGGAAAATCCCGAGGAGGGGATCCTTTTGACGACAGGAGACTTCAAGTTTATTTAAAGCCGCGAAATAACAGAAAAAAAAAAAAAAAAAAAAAAAAAAAAAAAAAAAAAAAAAAAAAAAAAAAAAAAAAAAAAAGAAGGAAAAGGAGAAGAGGAGGAGGAGGAATTAAAAAAAAAAAAAAAAGACCCATAACCAAAATTCCCGGTTTACCCCTCTTGCAGGGGTAGGAGCTGTGGGGAAGGAGGGGGAAAACATCCTTTCCTCCCTCCTCCCCCCCAAAAACATCTTGGTGCTGGCCCGGGGCAGGGGGCTCACACCCCCCCCAGTGCAGCCCCCACAGCCCCCGGCTGCTTCCCGCGCAGCGGGGCTCAGTCAGGACCGAGCAAGGGAGCTCGTAGCAATAGGGTAGCACAGGGTCCGTCCCTGCTCCTAAAAACCGAGAGGGTGGAGGGAGACAGAGGTGGGGGGGAGGAGGAAGAGGGCACCCTCTTCACCCCCCACCCCAAAGAAAATATCACTTCCCGAGAGCCAAATCCTGCTCCCCATTCCAAGAGGTTGAGACAAGCGCACGTCGTGGCTGCTCTGTGAGCCCGGGACCAGCCCAGGGACTGCAGCTCCATGCTGTAGTGCCCAGTGTGGAGCAGGGAGGGCTGGGGGCAGCCCCAGGGCAGGGACAAGGAGCCTAATCTGCCCCAGGGCTACCCTCAAGCACCAGCCCATGGCAGATCCAGCTGCCTCCCCAGCTCTATAGCTGCCCTAAGCAGCTACATCCCACACTCCCTGAGCTTGGAGGGCTCCAGTATCTCCTCAGCATTTGCCTCCATCTCCTCCATGCTTGGGGAGAAGCCTCTGGTGTCCCATGTCTGATGCTGCAGAGAGAGGCCCATCCTTGGGCTGCTCCATCCCTGCTTCTTCTCCCTTCTTGGGACCTTCTCAGATGGCTCCCAGCTTAGCCCACTGTCCCAGTCATCCACCGGTTCTCCACTTAAACCAGAGGTGACTCCCCCCATTACAGTCAGCTCCATTTGGCTAATGGGCCCTGGGAAGGGTATTGGACAGAACTGGTCAGAGGCCACCTGATGGCTGATGGTCACCAAGCTGAGGTGGGCCGGGACAGCTCCTGGAAAGCCCTTCTCCACAGTGCTGCCTCATTGCTCTCAGAGAGCCATGGCCAGGGACACCTCAGCCAGCAGCAGGTGGGCACTTGGTGATGACCCTCTAAGGGTCCCTCTGCCATGTTCCTTCCCAATGGGACATCCGCTCAGAGCCAGCAGGGAGGATTTACAGCACCACCAGCAAGGGGACATGGCCCATGTGCTCCTGGGCTCCCCGCACGATTCCCACTCATCTCGGGCAGGGGGCACCCCGGCCGCCTTGGAGCACAGCGGGCCTCCCTGCCGCCTGTGCACTTCCCAGGCACCATCACGCTCCGCTTGCTCCGCCGGCAAGCAGGAATCGCCGGCATTTTCTTCCTTTTCTTCCTCCTTTTTTTCCTCGGGAGAAAAATCAGCTAATTATGTGCCTGAACAAAAGCCTATTCTTGCCCGAAATAATGCGGCCGCCTTGCCGAGGCACTTGTTTGTGGGCAAATTTTGAAGAGGGCTGACAATAAAAACAGCTGCAGGAGCTGGGTGTCGGTGCCCAGCGCCGCTTCCCGGCCCCTCGCTGGGGAATGAGATCCCCCCACCAGGGGCTTCTGAAAGGAGCTCTTGGGGGCTGCCTTTATTTTTTTTCTGTTTTCTTTTTGTCTTTTATTATTATTATTTTCTCTTATTTTATTTTCTTTTATTCTATTTTTCCACTTTTTGTTTTGCACATCTTCACACAACCAAAGCACACCCAGTGTCTCTGCACTGCGGAGCCGGGACCTGCGGAAGCGAACAGGGCAAGCCAATTCTTGCAAGTCCCACAAAGTGGGAAAAGAGCCCCAAAAGTTCGCCCGGGCCCGCATGCCTCCCCCCACCAGCAGACGTTGCCATCACTGTCAAACCTGCCCACATTTCAGCTGCTTTGGAGTTTTTTCCATCCAGATCCTGCCTAAAAGCAGCATTCTGCATGCACAAAATATTTTTTTCATGTATATAAAATACACACACATATGAACACACACACACATACATATATATATATATATACACACATATATTTGAGGAGGGGGCATAGTCATTGTGACCTCTCAGGCGGAGGGAGCAGGATGGGACCTTTGCTCATCATCAAACCCATACATTAATATTCCCATACATTCATAGCCCAAGCACAAGCTCAGAGAGGCCGCCAGCCCTGTGGTCCTAGGAAGGCCACAACTTCCCCGAATCGGGAGCAGATACCAGAGGAGGGAGGATCCCTCTCTCCGGACCCCTCCCCATTTCTTTCTTTCTCTTTTTTTCTCACCTTGCATTGAACTTTATTTTGCAAAACCACTCCATCTTTGCTTGGGAACCCCCATTAATTGCCAGGGTTTGCCTCCTCGCCTGGTCCCTTGATCGTTATTTATGGCCTTGGAAATCATGCAAAGTTCCCGCGATGTCCGATTTACAAGTTTGGGAGTTTCATTTTTTTTTTTTTCTCCTTTTCCTCCCCCCTCCCAGGCCACCTTTTGTCCCCATGGAAGGCACCGTGTTGGCCGGGGGGGCCGAGCCGGCCCCACACGCGAGGGCTTCTCCCCAGCACGGAAGGCGGCAGCGGCCGCGGCCGCTTTTAATTCCGCCCCGCGTGGCTGAATGGCTCCTTTACATAATTGCAGCCGCGATTTCAAAGCCGAGCCAGGGGCTGACTTTACCCTGAACCACATGGAGCCTATTTGGGGGCTTTTCAGAGCTAAAAAAAAAGAGAGAAAAAGCTTGAATAAAACAGTGTTGTTCTTTTCCCCCCCCCTTTTTTTTCCATTCTTTTTTCTTTTCCTTTCTCTTTTTT